CATGCCCAGCTAATTTTTGTATTTTTAGTAGAGACGGGGTTTCACCACATTGGCTGGGCTGGTCTTGAACTCCTGACCTCGGGTGATCCGCCTGCCTATCAGCCTCCCAAAGTGTTGAGATACAGGTGTGAGCCACCGCGCCCAGCTGTAACCATCGCTTTCATGATGTTCTCTGAGGGTTATCCAAATAAGATTAAGAACTACCAACTTACCTCTCACTTTCACTGATCCTGACCCACTTTTCAAGTGTATTTATTTCAACCCTTCCCAGTGTATGTTATGCGACTTCTCCAACTCATTTTTCAAACACAGTTAAAAAGGTATGGGAAATATGTTAAACATCAGGCTTTAAGTATCATATGAAATTTAGATAAAGAGCTGGCTAAAATAAAAATAGCATTACATATGGGTATAAGGAGAAATATTTATTCAGATCATTATGAAAAAGCAGCTTAGAATTGTTATAGATTTAATATTTATGAAATTAAAGTTTATATGCTTTCTAGTTAACCAATCAAATATACTGTATCATTGATCTGAACGATATATTAGTCAGAAAGACCAGTAAGAATCAAGGCTTAAGTAGTAATACATACCACCCCCAGCTATGGTAGCCTTGATAAGAGAATCCAACTCTTCATCACCACGGATTGCAAGCTGCAAGTGACGCGGAGTGATACGCTTTACTTTGAGATCCTTAGAAGCATTACCTGCCAGCTCCAGCACCTACAAAGCATCCATGATTAGCATATCAAATGAAGGACGTTGGATTCCAAATGAAGGATCACTTAGCATTTGTACATACAAAACGCACAAACATTACATAAACTGATAACACATTTTTCTTTTCTTTTTTTTTTTTTGAGACATAATCTCACTCTGTTACCCAGGCTGGAGGGCCAGGGGCGCAATCTCGGCTCACTGCAAGCTCTGCCTCTGGGGTTCGCGCCATTCTCCTGCCTCAGCCTCCTGAGTAGCTGGGACCACAGGTGTCCGCCACCATGCCCGGCTAATTTTTTGTATTTTTAGTAGAGGCGGGTTTCACCATGTTAGCCAGGATGGTCTTGATCTCCTGACCTCCTCGTGATCCACCCGCCTCAGCCTCCCAAAGTGCTGGGATTACAACTGTAAACTGCCACACCCAGCCAAAGTCACATATTTTAATATATACTTATAGTCCATTTTTGTACAACCCTTAATAGCTGAAATGCATTTCCTAATGCTTTTAGAAGTTTTCAAATGTATTTTTTAAATTTTTAAAAAATAAAAGAGATGGGACCTCACTATGTTGCCAGGGCTGGTGTCAAACCCTTGGCCTCAAGTGATCCTCCTACTTCAGCCTCTCAAAGTGCTGGGAATACATGTGTGGGCCATCACACTCAGCCTAAAATATAATTTAAAATAATTTCTTTTTTTTGAGATGAAGTCTTGCTGTGTTGCCCAGGCTGGAGTGCAATGGCGTGATCTCAGCTCACTGAAACCACTGCCTCCTGGGTTCAAATGATTCTCCTGCCCCAGCCTCCGAAGCAGCTGGGACTACAGGCGCATGCCACCATGCCCGGGTAATTGTATATTTTTAGTAGAGATGGGGTTTTGGCTGGGCGCAGTGGCTCACGCCTGTAATCTCAGCACTTTGGGAGGCCGAGATGGGCAGATCACGAGGTCAGGAGATCAAGACCATCCTGGCTAACACAGTGAAACCCCATCTCTACTAAAAATACAAAAAAATTAGCCAGACCTGTAGTCCCAGCTATTCAGGAGGCTGAAGCAGGAGAATGGTGTGAACCCAGGAGGCAGAGCTTGCAGTGAGCCGAGATGGCGCCACTGCACTCCAGCCTAGATGACAGAGCAAAGACTCCTTCTCAAAAAAAAAAACAAACAAAAACAAACAAACAAACAAAAAAACCAAAACACCAGACACAGGATTTCACCATATTGGCTAGGCTGGTCTCAAACTCCTGACCTTGTGATCTGCCTGCCTCGGCCTCCCAAAGTGTTGGGATTACAGACCTGAGCCACCGCACCAGGCCACCTCTTCGTTTTAAATAGAGCAGTGTTGGGTATACATGAGAATCAAGTGAACTTTAAAAATACAAAAATCAGCCGGGTGTGGTGGCACACGCCTGTAATCCCAGCTACTCGGGAGGCTGAGGCAGGAGAGTTGTTAAACCCGGGAGGTGGAGGTTGCAGGAGCTGAGATCGTGCCATTGAACTCCAGCCTGGGCGACAGAGCAAGACTCCATTTAAATAAAAAAAAAAAAAAAAAGTAGGAGATTACTGCACCCACACATTCATTGTCTAATCTTGACCTAAATTGTTTTTGTTTGTTTGTTTGTTTTGAGACGGAGTCTTGCTTTGTCACCCAGGTTGGAGTGCAGTGGCGCGATCTCAAATCACTGCAAGCTCCGCCTCCCGGGTTCACGCCATTCTCCTGCCTCAGCCTCCCGAGAAGCAGGGATTACAGGCGCCCATCACCACTCCCGGCTAATTTTTTTTGTATTTTTAGTAGAGACGGGGTTTCATCACGTTAGCCAGGATGGTCTCAATCTCCTGACCTCATGATCCGCCAGCCTCGGCCTCCCAAAGTGCTGAGATTACAGGCGTGAGCCACCGCGCCCAGCCTGTTTTTTTTTTTTAAGACACTGTCTCACTGTCATGCAGACTGGAGTGCAGTGGTGCAATACATGGCTCACTGCAGCCTCAACCTCCTGGGCTCAGGTAATCCTCCCACCTCAGCCTCTCCAGTAGCTGGGACTATAGGTGCATACTATCACATCTGGTTAATTTTTTGTATTTTTTTGTAGAGACAGGGTTTTGCCATGTTGTCCAGGCTGGTCTGGAAGTCCTGGACTCAAATGATCTGCCTGCCTTGACCTCCCAAAGTGCTGAGATTATAGGCATGACTCACTGTGTTAACTTTAAACATTTTCACCAAAGTTCCCAAAGATTAAAAAAAAGGGGTGCTTAGATGGGGCTTGAACCTTGTGAACCAGAATGCTGAATACAAGCCACCACACCCAGCCAAAGTCATATATTTTAATATATCCATGTGGTCTATTTCTGCACAACCCTTAATAGCTGAAATTTCTTTCTTTTTTATTTTTTTTGAGATAGAGTCTTGCTCTGTTGCCAGGCTGCAGTGCAGTGGCGTGATCTCGGCTCACTGCAACCTCTGCCTTCTGGATTCAAGCGATTCTCCTGCCTCAGCCTCCTGAGTAGCTGGGACTATATACAGGTGCCCGCCACCATGCCCAGCTAATTTTTGTATTTTTAGTAGAGATGGGGTTTCACCATGTTGGCCAGAATGGTCTTGATCTCTTGACCTCATGATCCGCCCACCTCAGCCTCCCAAAGTGTTGGGATTACAGGCGTGGGCCACAGTGTCCAGCTGTGAAATTTCTTAACGCTTTTAGAAAAGTTTAAAAATGTATTTTAATTAAAATTAAAATTAAAAAATTTAAAAAAATACAAGAGGCCAGGTGGCCTCTTTTAATAGAAGGTGGCTCATGTCTGTAATCCCAGCACTTTGGGAGGCTGAGGCGGGCAGATCCAGGAGTTTGAGATCAGCCTGGCTAACATGGCAAAACCTTGTCTCTATAAGAAAATAACAAAAATTAGCCGGGTGTGGTGATGTATACCGCTAGCCCTAGCTACTCCGGAGGCTGAGGTGGGAGAATTGCTGGAACCCAGAAGGCAGAGGTTGCAATGCGCAGAGATCATGCCACTGCATTCCAGCCTGGGAGACAGAGAGAGACCCTGTCTCAAAACAAACAAACAAGAAAACCCCAAAAAACAAAACACCTCTTAATCATGACACAGCTAAGCTGAAACTATCCATAATATCCATAATTCAATGTTAAATTCCCAGTGGGACACAGATGACTTGGTGAGATTAATGAAAAAATGACAGCAATGGTAACTGACATACAGATTAAAAGCTAAATTCCTCAGCCTAGCTCCCAATCACATCTTCCCCAAGTAAGACCCTTCTGTTTCTACCAGAATGTTACTCAAATTACTTCCCCAGCCTGGAATGTAGGTGAAGTTTCACGACTTCCCAATGGATTTTTTTTTAGGAGGAATACGGATGGGGAAAGTGGTGGTCTACGACCCAAGAATTAAGAACTCCTGCCCAATTAACTTGTCTTCCTGAAATTTCAAACTAAGTAAGATACAGCAATTTTGTATGTATAATCCTGCAGAGAACCAGAAGAACACACTGAGTCTTTTACTTCTAATATCATATTTGTGATTTTTATGTATCATCACACTGGCAAAACTTTACATCATTGCAAATCTTCATAAACTAAAACACTATGCTGTAACTTCACAAATACTTCTACTGATTATATACATACTTCAAAGTTCACTGGGGTATGGTGGCTTATGTCTGTAATCCCAGCACCTTGGGAGGACCACTTGAGGCTAGGAGTTGGAAACCAGTCTGGGTAACATAGGGAGCCCCCAACTCCACAAAAAATAAAAATAAAAAATTAGCAACTGGCGTGGTGGCTCACACCTGTAATCTCAGCACTTTGGGAGGCTGAGGTGGGTGGATCACCTGAGGTCAGGAATTCAAGACTGACCTGGCCAACATGGTGAAACCCCGTCTCCACTAACAATACAAAGATTAGCCAGGTGTGGTGGCGGGTGCCTGTAATCCCAGTTACTGGTGAAGCTGAGGCAGGAGAATTGCTTGAACCCAAGAGGTGGAGGTTGCAGTGAGTCAAGATTGCGCCACTGCGCTCCACCTGGGGGTACAGAGCAAGACTCTATCTCAAAAAAAAAAAAAAAAATTAGCCAGGTGTGGTGGCACAAACCTGAAGTCACAGTTACTAGGGAGGCTGAGGCAGGAGGATCCCTTGAACCCAGGAGGTTTGAGGTTGGAATGAGCTATGATCATGCCACCGTACTCCAGCCTAGGTGACAGAGTGAGACCCAGTCTCAATATAAATACATGAAAATAAAAGATAAGAGATTGCTGGCCTTTGCCTAACTTTAAAAAATTTTTTTACTTTGAGATAGGGTCTTGCTCTGTCACACAGCCTAGTCTGGAACTCCAGGACTCAAGTGTACAATCTACCCACTTCAGCCTCCCAAAGTGCTGGCATTACAGGCGTGAATCACCGTGCCCAGTCCCTTGCTTAGCTTTAAAAACAAGTACACCAAGGTTCTTTTACATTAGTATTGGGTAATACCTGACAAGATGCATCTCAAACTGCGCTGTTAAAGAAACCAATGAGGCCGGACGTGGTGGCTCAAGCCTGTAATTCCAGCACTTTGGGAGGCCGAGGCAGGTGGATCACCTGGTCAGGAGTTTGAGACCAGTGTGGCCAATATGGTGAAACCCTGTCTCAACTAAGAATACAAAAATTAGCTGGGCACAGTGGTGCACACCTGTAGTCCTAGCTACTTGGGAGGCTGAGGTGGGAGAATTGCTTGAATCCGGGAGGCAGAGGTTGCAGTGAGTGGAGACTGGCCATTGCACTCCAGCCTGGGAAACAAGAGTGAAACTCTATCTCCAAAAAAACAAAAAAGCCCCAATGAGCATAATATGTCTTTTTTCAAATATATTCCATGGGTTTATGTCACTTAGACTAGTGCACCTTCTGGACTGCCATATACAACAGACACTCCTGTACAAACCTCTGCAGTGAGGTACTCCAGAATCGCAGCACTGTACACGGCAGCAGTGGCACCCACCCTTCCATGGCTTGTGGTGCGAGTCTTCAAGTGTCTGTGGATGCGGCCCACAGGAAACTAAAAGAGAGATGTCTTAGTGGGAAGCACTGCAGAGTCTTAACATTGCACTGACTGTAATCAAACGCTGAAAAATGTGAGTAAGCATGAAATAATAAAAAACTGGATCACACATATCAGAAGTCAAATCTATTAGGCAATTAACAGTTCCCAGGGCCTGTGTCTATGTTCTGGTAATCAGTCCAAAATCTTTAACCTCTGCATAATATGGAGAATATCACTCTAAAATGAAGAAAAACCATGCAGGGCTGTCATGAACTATACATTCAACAAGACCCATGGATCAAATTCCTGTCTAGTTAATTTCTTCAGATAAAAGGCACATGCAACTTTGAACCTCCAATGCCTTCCTCAGATCTTATTAAATGTTCTTTCTTCAGTTTCAAGAGGTGATCTGATAGTTAAGAAAAATCAGTACTATTATCTCATTGTGATTCTACTTTCCGAAAAAGAGGGTACTTTTCTCATTTCAGAGTATCCTAATCCCACTTGTTTGTGCCCTTTATTATTTTTTTTATTGAGACAGAGTCTCACTCTGTCGCTGAGGCTGGAGTGCAGTAGTGCCATCTTGGCTCACTGTAACCTCCGCCTCCTGGGTTTCAAGCGATTCTCCTGCCTCAGCCTCCTGAGTAGGTGGGATTATAGGCATGCCAGGACGCCTGGCTGTTTTGTATTTTTAGTAGAGACGGTTTTGCGTGATCTGCCCACCTTGGCCTCCCAAAGTGCTGGGATTACAGGCATGAGCCACTGCGCCCAGCCTGTCTGTGCCCTTTCTTACAGGACTACCTCATGCCTTCACTGTTGCATTATTTCAACAGCTACAATTACTTCCTTTCCGCTGGCTCCTTTCCTTCTACAGACTTTACTGAAAACTTCACAATCTATGAAAACTGCTTCCAGTTACAGTCTAGAAAGTCTCTTTCCAAAGACTGAATTTAAAAAACAAATCCTGAAACCCTTACTTTCTTGTCACCCATTTTTTCCTAACCCTAACTTGGTTTCTGTTAAACAGTACTTTTGAAGGCCAGCAGTGACATTTTACTTCCTTAATAAACACAAGCAATCTTTTTTTTTTTTTTTGCATTTATACTTCGTCTCTAAGTGACCAAAAGCTTCTTAAGAGCAAGATTTATGTCTTCTTTTCCTTTGTATCCTTAGTAACCAGTATGTTGTCTGGCATACAGTAGGCCCTCAAAAACATTTCTTCTTAGACTTCAGAGTTCTCATACCAACCCTGACTACTCCTCAGCCTTTTCTTAAAGTTTTTGAGGGGTCCTCCAATATCCTTGTGCTCCTTTCTCATTCTCTTAGGTTAGGAAACTCATCCATAACATAAACTATCAATTTTACATAAATGATCTCAAATTCCTAATTCTATCCCCTCTCTTAGAAAGCTGAACTCATGTTTCCAACTTCTGGACATTTTCACATGGATGCTTTAGTGAACTTCAAAATGATCCCATTTAAATTTACTTATAACTTGACCCTATTACAAACTCCTCTGTTCCTTAGGTTCTAAGCCTTAGAGAAACTTCTGACTTCCTCTTACCCTTATACTGCTTCACCTATTTTCTGCACACACATGATTTCTACTGCTTCCCATTCAAGTATGTTACTTTATTCCTAAATCACCGCAATAATCTCCATTGGCCTTCCATTTTCTACTTCAAATTAAGTATGCCTTAAAATAAATTCTAATTAGGAATATACATGGAAACCTAAAATACAGAATGTGCACATCAATATAAATTTCCATCCCCCTTCTTTCGGTATCATCTGGATCATGTTGTCCTCTTGCTTAAACTCTCAATGGCTTACCACTGCCAAGAGGATAACAGTTTACAGTTTGGCCTTCCAAGTTTCCTGATTAAAAGTATTTCTCGGCCAGGCACAGTGGCTCACGCCTGTAATCCCAGCACTCTGGGAGGCTGAGGCGGGCGGATCACGAGGTCAAGAGATTGAGACCATCCTGGCCAACATGGTGAAACCCCGTCTCTACTAAAAATACAAAAACTAGCTGGGCATGGTGGTGCGCACCTGTAGTCCCAGCCACGCAGGAGGCTGAGGCAGGAGAATCGCTTGAATCCAGGAGGCAGAGGTTGCAGTGAGCCGAGATCGCACCACTGCACTCCAACCTGGTGATAGAGCGAAACTCTGTCTCAAAAAAAAAAAAAAAAGTTTGTAGTAATACAAGTAGACTTCTGTAATCGATGAAACATAGGTCATAAATTACAACAGTAAAGAAAATAGTAATGTAACGACAGCATGGATTCATTACCTGTAGCCCAGCTCTCTGTGAGCGAGATACTGCCTTAGCCTTGGCCTTCCCACTGTCCTTTCCAGCTTTGCCTCCAGCCTAAATGCAAAAAAAAATTTTTGAATGAAAAGAGTTGAAAATACTACTTCAAAAATATTCTGGAAACAGAATTTCTTCTACTTTTACTTTAGGTAGTTAAAAATATGTAGGTGATCCCCTTCCTCATATACATGGGATTCTATCACCTTTTATAATTTCTATCAAAGAAGTCAAACCTTAAACGCTTACTGAAAATATGGGATTTTTCTTTTTTCTTTTTGAGATGGAGTCTAGCTCTGTTGCCCAGGTTGGAGTGCAGTGGGGCAATCCTGGCTCACTGCAAACTCCGCCTCCCAGGCTCCAGTGATTCTCCTGCCTCAGGTTCCTGAGTAGCTGAGATTACAGGTGCGCACCACCACACACAGCTAATTTTTGCATTTTTAGTACAGATGAGGTTTCACCATGTTGGCCAGGCTGGTCTTGAACTCCTGACCTCAAGTGATCCACCCGCTTTGGCCTCCCAAAGTGCTGGGATTACAGGCATGAGCCACAGTGCCAGGCTGAAAAATATGAGATTTCTAAAAACTAACATATTTATCAATTTCCAGATTGAAGAATCTTGCAAGTCAATATAACTTTTATGCATACATGAAATATTTCACAATTTTTATCAATGTCAGTGTAACATATATTACTTCCACAGAAATATTTAGAACTCTCAGAAAAATAAAGCATATTCCAAGAAAAAAAAAACCCTCAAAAAATTAAACACAGAATTGTCATATAGTCTAACAATTCCACTTCTAGGTATACACCCAAAAATTGAAAGCAAGGATTCAAACAAATACTTGTACACCCATGTTCACAGAAGCTTTATTCAGAATAGCCAAAAGGTGGAAACAATCTTGAGTGTCCAATGATGGATGAACAAAATGATATATATATAATGGGATAGTATTCAGCTTTAAAAAGGAAATTCTGACACAAGCTACAACATAAATGGGCCTTGAGGACATTATGCTAAGGAAAATAAGACAGTTACAAAAAAGACAAATACCGTATGATTCTACTTATGAGGTTCCTAAAATAGTAAAGTTCATAGTCAGCAGATTTGTGGTTGCCAGTGGTAGCTGCTTCCTGGGTTCAAGTGATTCTCCTGCCTCAGCCTCCTAAGTAGCTGGTAGTACAGGTGTGCACCACCACACCCTGCTAATTTTTGTATTTTTAGTACCAACAAGGCTTCCGTACGTTGGCCAGGCTGGTCTTGAACTCCTGACCTCAAGCGATCTGCCTGCCTTGCCCTTCCAAAGTACTAGGATTACAGGCGTAAGCCACCGCGCCTGGCCGAGTTACTGTTGAATGGGTAGAGTTTCCACTTGGGAAGATGAAAAAGTTCGAGACAGATGGCAGTGATGGTTGCACACTATAAATGTACTTAATGCCACTGAACTGTACGCTTAAAAAAAAACCTATTTCTGCATGAAAAAGGTAAAGTATGTGCAAATGTAATGAGCTATTAAGTAAATATGGGGTATTATAAAGTATGTGTGTACACACATATTTCTAGAAGGTGACACAATAAATTAGAAATGCTATTTGCCTCTAAGGAGGAAATACTAAGGGTCTGACTTAAGAAAACTAATTTTCTCTCATATATTTTGTTTTTACCATTTAAATAGATTATTTCTTTACTGTTAAATCAGTTTACAGGATTGGCTATTTGAGGGGCTATACTTTCAAAACAGATGGTAAGCTTTGAAATGGCATATCCCCTTTGTAGCTAATCCTTTCCTTAAAGATTTTTTAAAGCTAAAAATTACCCCTGTATACTTCCTCTAATCGCATGTCTAAGTGAATTAAGCGCGTCACCCAAGATAATATGGAAGAAAAACAGTAAAACCTTGGCAGGTATTAGAAACAGGAAAAATAAAAATCTAAAAACTAATTCATACTCACTCTCTTACATTAGGTAATTCAGCAAGAGAATGATTTAAGTTTATCAGTAAGAACTGAGATGCTCTTGATTTCTACCAGAATGCCTCATATATTTCAATAATTTTGACTATGTTGTTATATAAGAAAAATATAATTTTTGGATTTTTGAGGTCGGCTCCCCTAACAAGACAGGTCTTACTTCTCAAATAAAAAACCCTTTTTATCTCTATTTGCCTAATATATAACACTTAAAAACCTCTCAACTGGCATCTAAAATTAAAATCACTGTCTTCCTATGACTGGATTGGAAAAAATAAGAACTAGTCACTAATGAAAAGCCAACAACTACAAAACTCCCCAGGCTCCCCAGGTCATATAATAACTACTCTGCTTAAGCAATTTTATCCTCACTGTTTCAGATACGTCGTATTTGCTGTTCTATTTGCTTTTTAAAGAAGTAGACATATAGTCAGATTTTAAAAGCCTCAATACATTAAATGACTAGTTTCAATATTTAGAGACTCTCGATACAATTCTCATACTTAACAAAAGAAAACTTTCATGGTATCAAACTTATCTGAATATAAAATTATATAATAAATGGATAATTACTTTCTTTCCGATATCCCCTCAAACTGTATATATAGCCTCCCTACTTTGAACATTCATTTTAATTGGTGCTTGATAAACCAAATATAATTTTTTAATTCCAAGAATTGACTTCATATTAACCTAAGGTTGCTGGTTTTTAAAAATTACACACACACACACACACACACACACACACACACACAAAAGAGGAAGAGGGAGTTCATTTCACTTGGATAAACTTGCAAACTGGATACTAAGACACTTTCATGTCAGTTTTAACAGACATCTGCTTACTTCCTTTCACGTTTAAAATCTATCAAGAACGACAACTCAATGTCTCCTGCATTTTAGCTTATGTTAATACTTATGTATTTTTAGCTACTGGTAAGTGGATGTAAAACATATAGCGTATCTCCTGGCTAACACGGTGAAACCCCGTCTCTACTAAAAAAATACAAAAAACTAGCCGGGCGAGGTGGCGGACGCCTGTAGTCCCAGCTACTCGGGAGGCTGAGGCAGGAGAATGGCGTAAACCCGGGAGGCGGAGCTTGCAGTGAGCTGAGATCGCGCCACTGCACTCCAGCCTGGGCGACAGAGCGAGACTCCGTCTCAAAAAAAAAAAAAAAAAAACATATAGCGTATCACTAGAGACTGAAAAATATCTAAGAAACTAGAATCGGCCGGGCGCGGTGGTTCACGCCTGTAATCCCAGCACTTTGTGAGGCTGAGGCAGGCGGATCACGAGGTCAAGAAATCGAGACCATCCTGGCCAACATGGTGAAACCCAATCTCTACTCAAAATACAAAAAATTAGCTGGGCGTGGTGGCGCACACCTGTAGTCCCAGCTACTCGGGAGGCTGAGGCAGGAGAATCGCTTGAACCCAGGAGATGGAGGTTGCAGTGAGCCAAGATCGCGCCATTGCACTCCAGCCTGGCGACAGACTGAGACTCCGTCTCAAAACAAACAAACAAACAAAAAACTACAATCATGAAAATCATCTGTTTGAGCAAATCCTTTTACAGATTAGATGTAGGCTGTACCTCAGTTTGTTAAAGTATAGTACTTTACAATAACAATAAACTATACGTTAGACGTTGGAAGCAATTGTCCCTAAAGTCTATTCCAGCTATAAGATTTCGGTATTTTACAATAACCAAACATTTTGTCCTCTCGACTGGCCAATCTGTTTATAGTTAGGTGTTAAGTCTATTAAATACCGTATCTGACACATCAAGCACAAATCATCTAATATTATCTGCAGTATAAGAAATGACAGCCTGGTGTTAACTTTTAAGCAGGCAGCTCCCGTTGAAGTAACCTTTCAACAGAATGCTTAAAGCACGAATACCGGCAAAAATAAGATTCCATAATAACAGTCTTACTATTTTTACACAATCTTTGATGCAACTCAGAGCGTATCCTTTAGCACTTTCTCCTTTCCCTCAACTTTAAAATGGGGCTGAAGTTCTATTCACTTTCATTTTTTTAAAGCCACACTTTTCTTATCTAGATCTGAATTTCAGAATGAAAAGATGAATGCTTTAAGACTGAAAATTCATAGCAAGGGCAAAGGAAAGTACCGTTTTATAATGAAAACCGCAAACTGCATGGGGGTCAGAAGATAATGGGCGTTCATTTCAAACCTGTGCAATCACCTAGAACAAATCGTGTGGTTCTGGTCTATAAAACCATTCTTTGTAGCTCAAAAGACCACAAATACAAGCACCCTTTCGCAGAAACCCTCAAATTGACTGCCAGAGAGATTACGTAACCAAACATCGCCAAAGACTTATCTAACTTGTATAGCGGCAGCCGGTTTGACCTCATTCATACAGAGGAGCGATCACATTAAGATCCGGCACTTGTTTCTACCTTTCCAAGCCGGATTCTGGCGTCCTCCTCCTTCTAAGACGGGCGGTGCAGCGTCACCAGCGTCGGGACAGACCTGTCCGGCTCGGAACAGACTTCGCGCTCTACCCGGCCAGGCCCAGCTCTCACCCGGGGACCCGTGTCGGGCTCCGCAGCCGGGATATGGCGCCCCCCGGCGGGTGGCGAAGGGCTCGGCCGGACGAAGCCCCGACACCCGCAAACTCCCGACTCCACAGGTAGCGGCGCCGACGCCGGGGCCTCCGCGCTCTGCTCCCCCGGCCCTGTCCTAGGCCCCGTGCCCCCGACCCACCCGGCCGCCCTTACCATGTTCTCGGCGCCGACTCTGCCTCCGCTCGGCCGCGCGCCCTCCCGCTGACGACCCGCGCCGCCGCCGCCGCTCTCGCAGCACCGACCGCCGCCGCCGGAGCCGGACAATACCCCGTGCCCGCCTCGCGCTGCTGCGGCCAATGCCCGCTTGTCTTGCTGGTTCGAACCCCAGCGACTGTTCAATCGCGCGCCTCCTTCTAGCCAGACCCCGCCCCCCGGCACCGCCTACCTAACGGCTGTTTGTTTTTGCACACGGCACGCGGAGGCGGGGCTTCCAGCCCAATAGTGACGCCCTCTCCGCCTTTCACCAGACACCCAAGCCTGACGAACAGAAAAGCAAACCAATGAGATTGGACGCCTAGCAGACGAAAGCCAATGAAAATATCGCCCGCGAGCAAGGGAGGCGGGCCACTGAGAAGGACAGCAAAATTAGCTAATGAGGTGAAGCGATTGCAGGCGCTGTGGCTTTCCCGCCCATTCGCGGCGTTGGTTTTCCCGCTTCTGAGACTTGTTTGGGGAGGTAAAGACTTTTGGACGTGCTTCTGTTGGTGGGTTTTCACAAAGACTGTGAGGATGTATTCGTCTTAGGACGTGTGGACCAGGAGGGCGCTGGGTTTCAAGGTTAGGCAGCCCTCATGCTCAGCCGTTATTCTGGGGGACTGACTCCCCTGACGTCCTCTCAGCGCGGACCCTGGCAATCCGCGGCAGACTGAGGCGGGAGAATCGCTTGAACCCGGGAGGCGGAGGTTGCAGTGAGCAGAGATCGCGCCACTGCACTCCAGCTGGGCGACACATCGTCTCAAAAAAAAAAAAAAAAAAAGCTATCAATTGGCTACCTGTTGTTATTTGTATGATAAATTCTTTTTCCTTTGTTAGAGACGGAGTCCTGGGACTACAGGCGCGCGCCCCAATGCCCAGCTGATTTTTGTATGTTTAATAGAGACGGGGTTTCCCTGTGTTGGTCAGGCTGGTCTCGAACTCCTGACCTCAGGTGATCTGCCCGCCTCTGCCTCCCAAAGTGCTGGCATTACAGTAGTGAGCCACCGCGCCCGGGGTGTATTACAAATTCTAAGAATACGAAGATAATGGGGCCGGCTTGGTGGCGCGGACCTGTAGCCTCAGCTACTGTCAAGACTGAGACACGAGGATCTCTTGAGCCCAGGAAGTCGAGGCTGCAGTGAGTCATGATCGCACCACTGCACTCCAGCTTGGGAGACAGAGCATACCCTGTCTTAAAAAAAAAAAAAAAAGGTAATGGATGAGGCCGATAGTCAGGAATGAAATGACTTTAGACAATTGGGTGTGCATGGGATTGTGTATGTGGGGACAGGGGGTGGGCATAACCGAAGTCCCATACTCATGTCCCTCTAGGCCTTATACATTTTGCAGACCTCACAGAGCTCAGACTGTCGTGAGCCGTTTTTCTTCTCAGCCTCTTCAGTGTGCTTATTTTGCTTACATCATTAGGTTAAAATTTGGAGGGTAACTCCCAGCTAGAAAGGAAGAAAAACTCTAAAGTGGAATCGCCTTCCCCCGGAAGCTGTTGTAAAAATTAAAGGATGTATGTGAGTGCACAGGCTCTTCAGCGATCGTTTTTCTTCCGCGGTGTTTCCACTATTTGTTTATGTATTTATTTACTTTTTGAGATGAAGTCTCGCTCTGTTGCTCAGGCTGGATGGAGTGCAGTGGTGTGATTTCAGCTCACTGCAACCTTCGCCCCCTGAGTTCAAGTGATTCTCCTGCCTCAGCCTCCTAAGTAGCTGAGACAACAGGCTCCCGCCACTATTCCCCGCTAATTTTTGTATTTTTAGTAGAAATGGGGTTTCACCATGTTGGCCAGGCTGGTCTTGAACTCCTGACCGCAAGTGATCCTCTCGCCTCAGCCTCCTAAAGTACTGGGATTACAGGCGTGAGCCTGTTTCCACAATTTATTTATTTATTTATTTATTTATTTATTTTTTGAGACGGAGTCTCACTCTGTTGCCCAGGCTGGAGTGCAGTGGCTGGATCTGAGCCCACTGCAAGCTCCGCCTCCCAGGTTCACGCCATTCTCCTGCCTCAGCCTCCCGAGTAGCTGGGACTACAGGCGCCCGCCACCTCGCCCGGCTAGTTTTTTGTATTTTTTAGTAGAGACGGGGTTTCACCGTGTTAGCCAGGATAGTCTCGATCTCCTGACCTCGTGATCCGCCCGACTCGGCCTCCCAAAGTGCTGGGATTACAGGCTTGAGCCACCGCGCCCGGCCTGTTTCCACAATTTAAAAAGGCCCATCACCCTATCATCATCATCTCTATTACAGTCTGGGCAATATGAGCTTTCTGGGAGAACCAGCTTCATTTCTTAACTGAAGAAATGGACTTAGGTGAACTTAGTCATTTGCTTGAGACCGCATAGCCTGCAGATAACCAAGATACCAGCTCACATTTGTTCCAACTCATTCCAGCTTTAAATTCTTTAATTCTTTTCACAGTATGATGCATTGACTGTGCTAGAATGTGTTCTTGGTGTTGGTGAGTTAATAGTGAAACAAGTTTCTGCCTTAGTGGAGATTCTGTTCTCATAGGATTTTCCCAGGCTGGCACTTTAGAAATTTGTATCCAGGCTGGTGATAGCTGTTCCAAAGTTTGAATCAGGAGAAGCAACTTTGGGGAAGTGAGTCTTTAAAAAAAAGGTAACTTAAATTCGAGAAGAAGAGGGTGAGCTTCTAAGTAAGAATTTGGAAAAATAAGGATGAAGGTGCAGACAACTGTGAGGAAGGGTGTCCAGTGAAATAGGAAGGAATGGAGCAATGTGCCCAGATTAATAGAAGCCTCAAAACTATGTAGAAGAGTGGAGTTACTTCAGTAGCAATAGCCATTGTTAATTCTTGTTCCTCTGTGTTTCTGGCCTCAGTGGATGGCATTACCAATCTACTAAGGCATAAGCCTGCGAGTTATTCCTTTAACAGATCACTCAGTGCCTACTGTTTGCAGGCACTGTGCTAGGTACTGAAGATTTGGTGATTAGCAAAATAGACATTGTCCTTGCCCTCATGGTCCTCTGCAGTGGGAGTCAGATGTTAAGAAATAAACAAATACCGTATGTGAATTATAAGTTCAAGTGTGCTGAAGGAAAAGAACAGGGTGCTTTAAGAGAGAAACAGGGAATGTAGTTTAGTTGGCGTGGGTGGTGTTCCACAAAGAAAGAGCATGCAGGCTGGGCGCAGTGGCTCACGCCTGTAATCCCAGCAATTTGGGAGGCCAAGGTGGGTGGATGATCTGAGGTCAGGAATTCGAGACCAACCTGGCCAACGTGGCAAAACCCTGTCTCCACTAAAAATGCAAAAATTAGCCAGGCATGGTGGCGCATGCCTGTAATTTCCAGCTACTCGGGAGGCTGACCCAGGAAAATCACCTGAGCCCAGGAAGCGGAGGCAGCAGTGGGCTAAGATCACGCCATTGCACTTCAGCCTGGGCAACAGAGCAAGACTCCATTCCATCTTAAAAAAAAAAACAAAAAAATTTGCCCTTGTGAAGGGATTGAAAGAAGTGTTCAATAATGTATAAGAAAGCACCTAGCACTGTACCTAGCACATAACAGCCAATAAATGTTAACTTCCTTCCCTAACAGGAAAATCATTTTCTCGCCACTCTCTACCCCTCAACCTTCATGTCATTGATTCAGATTTTTTTTTTTTGAGATGGAGTCTGGCTGTTTTGCCCAGGCTGGAGTACAGTGGTGCGATCTCAGCTCACTGCAAGCTCTGCCTCCTGGGTTCACGCATTCTCACTGCCTCAGCCTCCCGAGTAGCTGGGACTACAGGCGCCCGCCACCACGCCCGGCTAATTTTTTCTTTTTTTTGTATTTTTAGTAGAGACGTGGTTTCACCGTGTTAGCCAGGATGGTCTCAATCTCCTGACCTCGTGATCTGCCCGCCTCGGCCTCCCAAAGTGCTGAGATTACAGGCATGAGCCACTGTGCCCAGCTGATTCAGATTTTGATGAAAGTGGAGTTAGGTTGAAAAAAACTGGTTCTCATTGTAGACAATAGTAATCCTTTTACTGATTTACATATCATCACTGTAAATTATATGTCATCACTGTAAACACGGATGCCAGAAAAACGTCTGCCTACTAACAGTTTTATAAACCAAGTGTGTTAGTAAAATCTAGTTTCTAGTGAACTAGGGTTACAAAAAAGGCAAAGATGAGTCAAAGAAGAACACCAGTCTAACCAGAAAATTTTATATAATAGCATCTATAAATGATAAACTACAAACATGGACAAATTATTCAACTTTGGGCTGGGAATGGTGGCTCATGTCTGTAATTCTAAAGCTTTGGGAGGCCAAGGCATGAGCCACCAGGGCAGGAGTTTGAGACCAGCCTGGGCAACATGACAAGACTCCACTTCTACAAAAATTAAAAGAAAAAATTAGCTGAGCCGGGCGCGATGGCTCACACCTGTAATCCCAGCACTTTGGGAGGACGAGACGGGCGGATTACGAGGTCAGGAGATCGAGACCATCCTGGCTAACACGGTAAAACCCCATCTCTACTAAAAATACAAAAAATTTTTTTTGCCACCGCACTCTAGCCTGGGCGACTGAGCAAGACTCCGTCTCAAAAAAGAAAAAAGAAAAAAATTAGCTGAGTGTGTAGTACATACCTGTGATCTCAGCTACTTGAGAGGCTGAGGTGGGCAGAGAACTTGAGCCCACGAGTTCAAGGCTGCAGTGAGCTATGTATGATCCTGTCACTGCTCACCAGCCAGGCAACAGAACCAGACAGTATCTCTTAAAAAAAAAAATTATTTGGCCGGGCGTGGTGGCTCAAGCCTGTAATCCCAGCACTTTGGGAGGCCGAGACGGGCAGATCACAAGGTCAGGATATCGAGACCATCCTGGCTAACACGGTAAAACACCATCTCTACTAAAAAATACAAAAACCTAGCCGGGCGAGGTGGTGGGCGTCTGTAGTCGCAGCTACTCGGGAGGCTGAGGCAGGAGAATGGCGTGAACCTGGGAGGCGGAGCTTGCAGTGAGCTGAGATCTGGCCACTGCACTCCAGCCTGGGCGACAAAGCAAGACTATCTCAACAACAACAACAACAACAACAAAAATATACAAAAAACTAGCCGGGCGAGGTGGCGGGCACCTGTAGTCCCAGCTACAGGAGAATGGCGTAAACCCGAAGGCGGAGCTTGCAGTGAGCTGAGATCCGGCCACTGCACTCTAGCCTGGGCAACAGAGCGAGACTCCGTCTCCAAAAAAAAAAAAAAATTATTCAATGTTGCTGAATTTAACCCAGTAATATATAGTATAATTGTTCTCAAAGTGTGATCCTTAGACCACCAGCATCAGCTTCACTTGGAAATTGTTAGCAATGAATTCTTACCCCCACCCCAGACCTGCTGAATCTGACACTGAGGGTGGGACCTATAAGCACTCCAGGGGATTCTGGTGCATACTGAAATTTAAGAACCACTGGTATAGTATATGCTGCAGTACACAGTCCAGAGGCCACGTATTCCTTATGAAACTGAAGCACTTGGCCAGGTGCGGTAGCTCATCCCTGTAATCCCAGCACTTTGGGAGGCTGAGGTGGGCAGATCAGCTGAGGTCAGGAGTTTCAGACCAGCTTGGCCACCATGGTGAAACCCCATCTCTACTAAAACAAAAAGCTGGCTGTGGTGGCGCATGCTTGTAGTCCCAGCTACTCTGGGAGGCTGAAGCAAGAGAATCATTTGAACCTGGGAGGTGGAGATTGCAGTGAGCCAAGATGGTGCCACTGCACTCCAGCCTGGGCAACAGAGCAAGACTCTGTCTAAAAAAAAAAAAAAAAAAACTGGAGCACTCATTTAGCCCCTGGATGTCTACCCAGCAATTGGACTTGGCCAAAGGAAGCTATATTGCCCAAGTTTACACTCCTTTTCAGGGGGCCTACCTCCAGTGACCGGTGGATGGAGGATATAGTGCCTAGCTCTTTTGCCTTAATTTGAGACAATTCTGAAGGGCCATTGCAGTTCCAGAGTTTCTTGTGTGATTAGTATTGACTTGATCTAACTGCATTGAAGTTCAACTTCTGCTTAATCCTGCTTTCTCCATTTTCTCATAGTTATGTCCCCAAGAGCATTCCATACTATTGCCTCTTGAAAGCAAATCCCATTCGTTTCCTGGGAAACCTGAACTAAGACAATGACTTTTCTCTGCAAAAATGTAGTCAGTTTTTAAGTGGGCAAGATATTCACACGTACAAAATTTCAAAAGGTACAAAGGGTATACAGTGAAAAGGCTCCTCTGGGTGCAGTGACTCATCCCTGTAATGTCAGCATTTTGGGAGGTTAAGGCAGGAAGATCGCTTAAGTCCAGGAGTTGAAGACCAGTGTGGGTGACATAGTGAGACCCACATCTCTATGAAAAATAAAAAAAATAAGCCAGGCATGGTGGCGTGCACATGTAGTCCCAGCTACTCAGGAGGCTGAGGGAGAAGGATCACTTGAGCCCAGGAGTTTAAGGATGCAGTGAGCTGTGATTGTGCCACTGCATTCCAGCCTGAGTGAGAGCAAAACGCATACACACACACACCAAAAAACTCC